CAGCTGGAGTACTGCGTCCAGTTTTGGGCTCCACAATTCAAAAAGGATGTGGAGAAGCTTGAGAGAGTCCAGAGAATAGCCAAGCGCATGATCAGAGGTCAGGGAAGCAGACCCTACGATGACAGGCTGAAAGCCATGGGGCTCTTTAGCCTGGAAAAGCGCAGGCTCAGGGGTGATCTGATGGCCACCTATAAGTTTATCAGGGGTGACCACCAGTATCTGGGGGAACGTTTGTTCACCAGAGCGCCCCAAGGGATGATGACTAGGTCAAACGGTCATAAACTACTACAAGACCATTTCAGGCTGGACATAAGGAAGAATTTCTTTACTGTCCGAGCCCCCAAGGTCTGGAACAGCCTGCCACCGGAGGTGGTTCAAGTGCCTACATTGAACACCTTCAAGAGCAAACTGGATGCTTATCTTGCTGGGATCCTATGACCCCAGCTGACTTCCTGCCCTTTGAGCAGGGGGCTGGACTTGATGATCTTCCGAGGTCCCTTCCAGCCGTAATGTCTATGAAATCTATGAAATGAATAGCATTAATTTATTCAGGAAATGATCTTTGTCTTTGTAGCAGAGACCTGGGATGTGCCTGCTCCTCTAAAGGAGAAAGCAGCCTGAGAGACCACTTGCAGGTGATGAAGGGGGCTAATGAGAGACTCACCTGACTGGAAGAGTGCTCCAGCTGGGAGTCTCTGGAGCCCACACTGGGTCAGGTAGTCTCTCCCTGGCACCTACACAGTGAGGAGCTCCTGGCAGCAAGGCAGCAGGGCTCCTGCAGGGACCTGGATTTAGCTAAACAATTCTGCCAGCTTGGGAACAAAGGCAAGTTCCCTGAGCAGAGAAAAACTGGGTTACAAGCAAGTGGCCTTTGTTTATGTGAAACTCCTAGAGAGTTTGAGGCATCTGCCAGAAGGCTAAGATGCTTCTTGTTTATTTAAATTACCTTGGTAGTTTAGCCGTGAACCCTTCTGTGGCAGGCTCAAGTCCTGTTTAGAGAACCAGTAGCCCAGGAGCCCTCAGACTAAGATTGGGGCTCAGTAAGGGGTCCAGGAGCCTAGGAAGAGGCTGAGACCAGGACCAGGAGGTCCACATGCCTAGGGAAGGGCTGAGCTGGGCCAGAGGGTCCACGAGCCCAGAGCCGGCTAAGACAGACTAGAGGGTCTGAGAGCCTGGAGGAGGGGTTCCATGTGGGACCGGGGATCCGAGAACCCGGAGGAGGGGCTGTGTGTGGGTCCAAGGGTACAAAGGGAGATGGCATAAGTGACCAAGGTCCAAGGGGGCCAAGTGTACAAAGAGTTTACATCAGAGAGAGAGAACATCTGCGAGGCTTGGGACATGGTGTA